TTCGGAGCGCTTACCAGGCACTGAGGGCATAATGTTGTTCGAAAAGAAAACTGGTCTCCACCCCCATGAAGCTTATAGCCCAGTGCAGGCGACATGTTTAAAAGTCACTCTCAGAAATATGTAACTCCCAACCGGAAGGAAAGGCCGAAGAGCAAAGGTGACCTGGGCTTGGGGCAGGGACCCAGACTGGAGTAGGGTGGGGCAGGATTGCCCCGTGGGAGGGGCTGAAGGCTGGGGGGGGGTGAACAGCTCTCAGAGGAGTGTGCTTATGTGTGAATGTGCTGTTAGAGGAAGTCCAGAGGGAACTCATGGAACACAGAAATGGGGAGAAGGTCAGCGACTCTGGGACTAGTGTGTGAGAGGTGGCTGGCCATGAGGGACACTCAGAGCCATTGTAAGAAGTGTGCTGAATGATTCTTAGTTGGAGGGAGGGGGAGACAACTGGGTATAATTTATGTTTTGGATGATGGCTTTGGCCAGGTTAGAGGCTCTGATGACTCCAGAAGACTTGGCCTGAGACGAGCGGACTATGCAGAGAACAGAGTGCTCTGGGAGGCACACTGCAGACCTGAGCAGTGGGGCAGGCCATAGCAGTAGCTACTAATGTGGAATGGTGTTCATGGGCCCCAAGGAAGCCACATCAAGACGGGCAAAAGCCATCAAGACAAGCCCCATGACAGCGGAATTGTAGAGACACAGTAATCCTCGTAGAAGGGCCCAGCACTGCAGGTTAACTAGTACTCATCATGGTGCAAGCTAAAGAACGGACATGGAGGACACAGGGGTGGAGAGCGTAATTAATGATGGGTGCGAGGGTACAGCCTGGTCCCCGAGGTTCCTCCTGAGTGTCCAGAGCCACCCCTGTAACTCCGAGGGGGAGGGGCCCTCCCTTGTGTTTTATTTTTCAGTCTTGAAAAGCAATGGAAGCAGGGCAGTGGGGATGCACGCCTGTAATCCCAGCGCTCGGGAGGTAGAGGCAGGTGGATCTCTATGAGTTCAAGGCCAGCCTGGTCTACAGAGTGAGTTCCAGGACAGCTAGGACTGTTACACAAAGAAACCCTATTTTGAGCCCCCCCCCCAGCTCCCTCCTCTAAATTGCATTCTATCTGTGTCAAACAGTACACAGAGTTGTGCCCCTCGGTGGAGGGTTAGAAAATGCAACCTGTTTTTTTTCTGTGAAAGCTGGCAGGGCCAGGGCAAGCTGTGTCTCCCTTTCCCTGGGAGCAGAGCAGTACTGGGAACATGGGTCAGTGGGAAACATGCCCACTGGGCACAGGGTATCAGGAAATACACTGATTCCCACCCCACTCCCCCACCCCCCGCCGCCCTGGGAGCTTAGATACAGGTGGGAACTAAGTGAGCAAGGACAGCACCACCTGCTTTCACCGGTGTGCGTGTGCGTGGTGCGTTCGTACGTGCCTGTGTGCGTGGGTCTGCCTGCCCGTCCGCCTGCCTGCCTGCCTGCCTGCCTACCTACTCTGCCTGTCCACCTGCCTCATCTGCCTGTAAGGTTTTGGAAGATGAACCCACCCAGGTAAGGTCAGTTGACCTGCTTCATGCTGTGGTTTGGCTATGCTTTCTATCAAAGCAAGTGGCGAAGCCCAGTTTCTCAATGCGACAATTCTAAGAGGTGATGGTTTAGGAGATAATGGTCACTGAGGCTATGTCATAATGAAGAGATCAAAGTACTTCCCAGAGAGGGGGTTAGTTATGGCGAGAACGGGTTATGATGCGCCTAGCACGTCCCAGCAGGCTCCTTCACATATCCCGATTCTTTCTACACATGATCACTCCAGTCTTCTGCTGTTAGCCATGATGCCTCACTGGGAGCCTAGAATATGTTAGGACCATGTTCTTAGACTTCCAAACTGTAAGCCAAAAAGTCTTTTTAAAACTGTTTCCTTTAAAATGTACTTATCTTTATTTTTTTATTTTTCTTAGTGTGTGTAGAGGTTTGAGTATGACTTTTATTGCTTCTTCCTTTCTGCCCGTGTGCATTTGGGGAATTGAACTCGGATCGTCAGTCTTGGCAGCAAGTGTCTTCACCTGCTGAGCTACCTTGTCATACCTGCTTCTCTTCATTACGAACTACACAGTCTTAGGTATTCTGTTATAGCAATAGACTAAGACAGTTCTACAGTTAGGTAACTGACAGAGAGGCTTTTGGGAAATTCTTAATCCTGATACCTTCTACCCCTATCCCTACAAAGAGATGATAAAGACACCCTTCATGATCATGGTCACCTTTATCTGCGCCTTCGGGGTTGAAACTTGTCAAAACATTAGCAGCTAAAGTGGCTTCTGAGAAGCAACCCTAGAAGCCCAGGTATCAACAAACAGCCCAGAGGAGCTGCTTTCCAGCCAGACCCCCAAAGCCCTCTGAGCCTGTTGTCCAGGTATGAGCTTCTTAACTTTCCTATAGAGGAACCCTGATCTTTTCCACGTGAAACAACACTTGGGCGTATTTCCACATAGGTGTGGCCTGAAAGAGTCTATCTAGACAGCGGCTGGACAGCAGGGCTAGGTGTTTGTGTTGTGAAGGCTCTTAGGTGGTCACACAGATCCCATCCTAGTGCTGAACGTTTCAAATAGGGGTGAATTTTGATGACCAAAATTCTTCCATCTGCCAGAGCCCAATTTCTCTGAGGCACATGGATGTGTATTTCCTAACAGGCTACATGTCTAACTTGGTTCACACACACACACACACACACACACACACACACACACACTCGCACATGCACACATATACATACACACCACACATGTGACACTGGGGAAATACATGTACTGCTCCCCACTCCAGCAGTACGCTCAGCCTCCCTCTGCCATCCTGCCCCTGCTCAGTTCCCTGTCATTCCTCAGTTTACAGATCAAGAATCATAGCCCACTCTGGCCACCTCCTGGCTCCCTGTGCACAGAAACCCCAGTGTAACCCATGCTCTCAGAAAGTCTTTCTCAGGATTTATGGTCAGACAGATCTGTAGGCAACCAATTCCCATATTAGTGCCTGAAAAACTGCACTAGAAGCTTAAATCATCACATGCCCAGTAGAGAGGACTCCTCAATCTTGGCACTTCTGGCGTTTGAGATCAGATAATTCCGAGTGCTAGGCACTGTGGGTGTTTAGGAGCATCCTTGGGCACTACCTACAGGATGTCAGTAACACCTTTGGTTAGAATGATCAACATTTCCTAATATTCCTGAAGGGAGAAAGGGCTGCTGTTAATGGGAGATGGCTCAGTGGGTAAAGTGCTGGTCATCCCTAACACCACACACAAAGCTGGCCACAGTGGTGTGTGTCTGTGGGCCGAGGGTGAGGCAAAGAGACAGGTCCCTGATCAGCCAGTCTAGCCAAATCAGTGAGCTCTGGGTTCAGCGAGAGACCCTGTCTCAAAGAATAAAATGAAGGACAATAGAAGGCACCTGAAGCTGACCTCTGACCTCCATAGGTCTGTGCACGTACACATGCACACACACACAGACACGCATGTATGCATATGCGTACACACACACAGTAATGAAGTTTGGGATTTCACACACAGGACCCTTTGCCGAATGAAGCACTGGTCTCATTCCAGACCAACAAGATTCTAGAAAAGGTTGAACATGAGCATGTAGACCATGGAAATAACCCAGTAGTTGTACTCAGAGCATGAAAATGGGAAAAATGGGTGGGGTGAGATTAACTTTAATAATGTGCTTTTTTAACCCACCAAAAGTATTGTCACTGCAATATGTTATCCAATAATTGTTAACAGAGTCATTTTAAGCCTGTGTGTACCTTCTTCTTTGGACCAGTATATGCCAAGTACTCATTAGCTTCGTGTGACTAGTGGCTGTGTCTTCAGACAGAAGAACAGGGAGAGAAATGGCTTGCTTAGAGGGATCTGGCCTGGCTCACCCCTGGCCATCTTTAGATTATGCCTCCACCTCTCAGTAGAGCCAGGCAAGTCTATCCTTTGCTTACTAGTGGCTACCACATTATACTCCTTTCCAACAACCCACAGAGAAGTCTGGATGCCACTGAACACACTGGAAAGTCACCCAAGTGCCTTCAATGTGCTAATGAAATGAGGCATCCCTGAGGAGGTACAGGGTTCCCCAGTCCCTCCACCCTCGCACACAGCTGCCTCCTAGGAGCACTCCCATGCCCCACCCATCTCCAAAGACCCATCTTGATCCCCTGTGCTTAGAAGGCAGACTGTCGCCAAGCACTGGCCATCTGAAAAAGTGGCTTCATTTCTTCAAAGACAGCTGTTTTCATCAGATGCAACCTCACTCCTGGCCAAGAAGTTGCTGTCTGGGGGAAATGCTTGTCTCTTTTCCTGTCTAGTGGTTGGGTCTTGAGGCTATTCTGCTGGGACCCATGCTGATGGCTGAGTCCTGAACTAGAGATTACTATCTCTTGTTTTATTGGATTTTTAGTGTCTGCTCTAACCCCGCCCCACCACACCCCACCGCCTTTCCAGCAGTGCATTTCACAGCTCCACCGGTCTGGCATAAAGGTAGGCATGAGACACACTCCACTTCTGCCCCCCCTGCTGGCTGGGGGTAGGGATGGGGGCTGCTCTCAGCGGGCTGGCCTCAGACTTGAACAGAACTCTGCAGAAGCCTGGGTGTTGCTAACCCTGCTAGGGTCATTTCAACTTTTACTGTGAGTGAAAAGCCAAGTTTTCCCCCAGTTGTCACCTGTTTACCTATAACGGCAGAGGGGTTGTAAAACATAAAACCTTAGGCTGGAGGTGCTCACCACCTACACACTTAAAATAGCTACTGCCCTGTGCTGTCTCAGGTCTGATCCCCCCATAGTCCCCACCCCAACCCCAATCTCACCAGAACTGCAGGCACATAGGCTCACAGCAGCCACTCACTGTACAGGTGTCACAGCCCGGACACCTTCCCCACCTGTAACCTGGCAGGACAGCTCCTTCAGTGTCCCAGCATTTGCCAGGGAATACACGCTGTGTGCCTAGAAATCCGCAGGAATTTGTACTTACCCCTCCTGGCCTGTCTGATCTTTGGGCTCAGCATGCTGCAGCCGCCTGGCCACAATTGCTGGGCCGATCATGCTGCCATCCGCTTTGCTTTTCTCTTCTTGGCAAGTGGCCCTTCATGCCTAGCTCTTTGGAGCCCCCGAGGCCACTGGCGTCACCCCCTCGGCTCCCTCTCCTGGCTCCAGCTTGCCTTGGACTACATAAATCCTGATGCATTATTTATCCATTCCAGAATTAATTTCCATCCAAGTGGACCATTAAAGCCACAGCGATGTTTACTGATCAATCACTGGCCAGGGCGGGGCCCGCCTGGCTATCGTGTTCGCTGGGGCTACCCATTCCTGTAGGAGGAGGCGGGGTCTTGGGCTTCAGGGCGGGCAGGTGGGTGGGGCCATCTGAATCCCAGTGGAGATTGCAGCTGGCTGGAAGTCCCCAGGTCCTGGAGAGCTGGTGCGCCAGCCAGCCAGCCACCAAGAAAGTAGAGGACACACATAACACCATTGTTGGCCGGGCTAGCACGTACTGCTAAGTAGAGATCTTCACGCGAGGGAGTGGCGAGAACCCTCCAAACCCAGCTGGAAGGGACAGGCGTCTCAGCTCACTGCTTTCTTGGAAGGAGTAGGTATTCTGGTATTGCTCACATCCTTAGCGACTATACGTGCAGAAAGAGTCCTGCTGGAGGTATCAACCACCTCCTTAGTAAGGGGACAGAAACTAGTGCCTGAGTACATCCTAGCTGTAAACTTGGTTTTTTTTTTTTTTTTTTTTGCTATGAAGCCAGTTCCTCAAAATACTACAATTCTGACCCCTGCATGGTAGTAGCTCCCTCCTTGAGAGTGCCCTATGAACTTGTTGGATTGTGACCCCCCTCACTTGGTGCTCTTACCCACCGAGCCTAGGATTGGTTCTTTCCAGCTGTTATAATCTTCCTCCTCCTCCAAATGCCTCTTGTCCCTGTTCCCCCATGCAGCCCTCCACAGCTTTTTATGTGGGTCGTGTCCGCTGAGTCTCAAATATCCCAGTGGCATTTGAGCAGCTACAAGGGAAAGAGGGCTCCTGGGAAAACTCTGAAGCAGCCCAGAATAGGTGGGAGAGGCTAGTCTGGGGCGGGGGAGGCCAAGAGGGAGGGGCAAGTCTGCCGGGTGTGGTAAGCCCCACATCCCAGTGAATGGGGTGGAGGGAGACCACAGAGGGCAGTCTCAGTCAGCTTCAAGCCCATTCTTCTGATCTTAGATTGCTCCCCAGATGGAGGAGTATGTGTCCTGACATGACCGTGACATCCAAGACCTTTCCCAGTCCTTCATGCCTTCCCCTCTGTCCCCTGCCTTGCTGCTGCTGCCCTGTGGTCCTCTGTTCAGGTCATATGAGGTCCCTGTGTGTCCCCTTTCATATGCAGTCCCTACTCCCACAGCCTGTGCCCGTGCACAAACAGAACCCACCTCTGGAAACCTTCCTCACAGCACTTCAGCTCCACAGATCTTGTCATGATTTTAACGCCCTCTCCAGCCAGTGACACTGTCCTGATCTCACCATTTGGGGGGAGATGCTAAGCCCTTTTGTGAGCCCTTGCACATTTTCCTAGGACTGGTCTTCTTGCCCTCCCAGCTGCGAGCCCCAACCCACAAAACACTCTGCAAAGGATGGTGGTGTGCTTAGAGGATGGGGAGATGGTCCAGTGGGTAAATTGCTTATTATGCAAGCACAAGGATAAGACTCTGGATCTTAAGAGTCCACATAAATCTTGGGTGGGCATGGCAGCCTGTCTGTGGTCCTGATGCTTGGGAGGTGGAGATAGGGGATCCTGGGAACAAGCTAGAGTAGCCCAGTTGGCAAGCTCTGAGTTCAAGTGAGAGACCCTGCCTCAATATACAAGGTGGAGAGTGATTGAGAAAGATGCCCCATGTCAACCTCTGCTCTCCACTCCCAGGTATACACATGCACTAAACACACACAGATACACACACACACACACACACACACACACACACACAGAGTGTATGGACAGATCAGAAACACCACTGCAGGGCCCCTCCTCTCCCCTTTAAGACTAAGTACAATACAGACCAGGCTAGGACAGAGCCCACCCAGGAAGGATGAGAGAATATGGAGCTGGACAAATCACAAGTTGACACCGGGGTCACAGGGCAAGTCCTGTGGCTGGTGACAGCATCTTGAGCAATCCGGAAACCATCTGTGAGTAATGCAGCCTGGCCAGTGTTCCCCTGAGCCAAAGGCCAGCAAATGCCAGAGCCTTGGTCCAGGGCTACTCACGATTGTTTTGCTTAAGAAACCACCTCCGGGAGCTTTTCCTGTGCAGCTGCTTCCCAAGGATCTCAAGTCATTGCTCTCATTTGCCTGCTTTTCTGGCCATTAGAGAAGGAGGAACAAATCCACAGGCTCTGGGCTCAGACTCAGATGGCAAGCCTGGAAAGGGCAGGGGCTGATCTAATTGGGATCATGGGATCAGTGGGTGGAGGGCAAAGTGGTTCTGTCATTCTCTTGCCCTGTCCCCTGATTTCATTCCTAGTCCTTCTGATGCGGGACTCACAGGCAGCACCTGGGAAGGGCTGTATGCCTCACCACACAGCAGCAGTACATGTTGGAAGCCTCCAGATCCTTCCAGGGCTATGGGTGACAGTGGGGACAGGAAAGGGGCTATGGGATTTGTTGGATGTGAAGACTTTGATTGCTTGTATTTGAAGAAACAGTGTTATTCCTCTAGGTGTAAGTTTATCACTAAGAACAGGAAAGGGAGTTACTGGTCAGCATGGCAGCAGACACTGATAATACCCCTCTTCAGCTTGTCTCACAGTGCAGCCCTTGTCCCACCTCTACCCTAGCATCGTGATTCCAGTGGCTCTGCTACTCTCCTGCCTCACATCACTTGGCATTTTTAAAGGGCTGCTGAAAGGGAGGCACTGAAAGGTGTGAGGGGGCTGAGAGGAGCAGGACTCTCCAGAACCACCTGTTAAAATGCACTCTGTTGATGGAATATCTGCCCATCGGCAGTCAGCCCAGAGCCAGGATGCTTTCACTATTGTGGCTCTCACCCATGGCTGGAGACTGCCAAGAGTATCTTCGTCCCATGCTGAAGCTCTTCTTAACCAGTGCACATGTACAACCATCCTGGGGCTTGTGAAAATGTGATCTACACACAGTCAGGGCAGGGAACCACTGCCTTAGAAGACAACTCCACACGCCTGGGGCCAGGGTAACCAAGGTAACCTTGGCCTGCTGCCATCCCAAGGGAGATGTCTTGTTTCAGAGAGGTAGCCGTGTCAATCATTCATCCAGCTAGAAAGAACCCTAAGCTCTAATGAGAAACAAACCCATTGCATGTAGAGCTACTAGTGCTATTTCATAATCTGTGTAATGCACCAAAGTATCCAGTAGAGGGGAGAGGGAGGGTTGGACTTGAGCTGGACCAGCAAGCATCGAGAGTGACAGCTGGGAGGGGGAACTTTTCTCTAATTTCACCAAGATGCCACATAGACAGTGGATCCCCGCTTCCCTTTTCCAGAAGCTTCTGGGCTTTAGATAGAAGCATCCCTTGCAGAGGTTGATGTGCAAGCAGTTTTGCCCTTGGCTCTCCAGAGCCTGTCCCCAGTCACCAGCACTACCATTCCCTGCTGTGAGCTGGCTGCTACCCTCTCCTTAGCCTGCCACTCAAGGTCATCACTTCTGCCTATCCAGTGGGGGTCCCAGCAAGCCAGGTGGTGTTAATCTGTAAGGAAACTTTCAATAAGTTTGCAAAGTCAACAGTTTATGATGGGCACCATCAGAAATTGAGCAATTCCTAATCCATCTGAGTCATCCATATGGAAAATACTACATGTTCCCACCGCCATGCAGATCCCTAAAGTTCAGCATTACTATGCTGGAGTATTCACAGTGTGGAAATCAGGCAACACTGTAAGGAGAGCATAGGCATCTCCTTTTCTCTTTTACCTCCCTCTGATCCATGTTGAGGGACCCAGGGACCTTCTACAAGTAGGGGGAAACAGTCCTCCGGCCCATTGACCGGCATGTCTCCTCCCCATCTCTACCGCTTTTCTGTGTGCCCTTGTCAGTGTGTGGGGCCCCTGGTCTGGGTAGAGAATGCCAGGTCTCTACCAGAATCAGCCCTCTGCTTCCTCATGGATGCTCTGCATTGTCAGCCACCTACAGTTAAGTGTGGTTGAGTCAAAGTGATGTGGCCACTCCCAGGCCTGGGATACAGCACTTTGTCTCTTGATACCCAACCAAACTCATTTCCACTTCTGGCTGGTCACCTAGGACAGGGACACTTTGGAAGTCCTATCTAGAAGATAGTAATAGCCAAACAGTCTGAGTCCTGAATGGCTGTGTGGAGCTGAGCCCTCTCTGCCAGCCTGGAAGCCCTGTACATGGATGGGAAAAGCCGAAGGAAAGACTATCGTGAGGCTTATTACTTGGCTAGTCCTCTTCGTTACCACAGCTGACTTTCCAGATGATCTACAGTTTCATCTGTACTCTGACTGTGAGATTTTGAAACATCCTCCAGTGCCAGCTCCTTGTTTATCTCCACAGCTGGAGTGAGTCGCCCATACCCGAGGCTCCAGGGACCTTCTACAAGGCCTGTGAGTGTGTGTGTGTGTTTGTGTGTGTGTTACTGTGTGTAAGAGTGGGAGTAAGTGTGTGTGAGTGTGTGCATGTGTGTATGTGTGTGCGTTAGTGTGCATAAGTGTGTGTGTAGGTGTATGAGTGTGTAGATGTATGTGTGAGAATGTGTGTGAGCGTGTGTACGTGTGCAGGTCATTGGTAAGAGAGTGTAAGCTTCTGCTGACTCCTCTAAATACCAACTTCACATAAATCATTGTGTTGGATTGAAGCACTCTTTCTAGATTTTTAAGTTGCAGAAGTGTGTAGGAGTCTTCAACGGTGAAATTTTGGACCACTCCAGTAGTCTTGCTCTGGTGCTATGGACATGTCCTCCATCTATGTCACCACTGGGAGGATGGGGCTGCAGCATTATCTGCTCCAGAGGGCTGGCCTTCCTTTCTGTCTCCTCTCGCTGGCCCCAATCCTGTCATTACTGGCCTTTAAGTTAGTGTTGTCTATGCATTGATGCTCATGGTATTCACTGTATAGCCAGGCCCCCAGAAAGGGTCCGGAGTCTTGGATTCCCACTATTCTTGCAGGGATCTATTTAGTGTCTTGATATCCAAATCAGGATATAGATGCAGAATCTAAAATCATGCACTAAAAGAAAAAAAAATCCCACACATACCAGGCCAGGGCTAGAAGGATAAGCCCAGAGCATGGAGGCTTGCTTACAAAGCCCTAATTATGATGGTTGCTATTC